GAAACAACATCAACAACATTCCCATATGGTCTTCTTCTCAACGCATTCAATATGTTCTTTCGAGCCATCAAATGTGCTCCTCTTTCGTCCTCCGACTTTGAACCACTTGCACTTCCTTTCTCCTTGGCCTAGTTCATGGCCAGTTGTTGTTGATATTCCCGGACTTCAGCTGGTGACAATGGATTTAGCAGTAACTTTCGATCTCCTTTCTTGAACCAGTAGCTGTTGTGCCTTCCATCATGAATAACTCCTCGATCATATTGCCCCGGATGACCCAGTAGGAGGCGAACAGCCTGCATTGGAGCAACATCACACCAAATCTTATATGCATAATCACCGATCTGAAAACAAACATTGACCTTCTTGTTGACTTTGATGTTCACATAGTCGTTTAGCCAATGCAGAGTGTACGATTGAGGAAGCTTGATGGCTCTCAATCTCAGCTTCTTGACTGCATCCAGACTAATCACATTGGTGCAGCTACCACCATCGATGACCACGGATAATACCTTCCTGTCGACCAGGCAGCAAGAGTGGATGAGATTATCCCTTTGCTCCGTTTCTGTGTAAGCTTCAATGGATAAAGCTTAGTGGTTCACTCTAAGAAGTTTACCTGCTGGAGGTTCTTCGACCTTGATGTGCTCATTCACATCATCATCAGAATAGAGGTCAAGTCCTTGCCCCATCAGTTTCTCTTTATACTCCTCCTCAGAAAAGTACTCTCTATCTCGCAAGACAAGAGTCTTCTTGTTAGGGCATTGGTTGGCCTTGTGACCTCGTCCAAAGAACTTGAAGCATTGGATGCTTCCTATTTAGCCTTCATTCCTGGCTTGAATAACTGGGGATGTGTTCCTGGCAGCTGGCCTGTCTCCCTCTTACCTAGGATGAGTCTAGGTAGTCTCAGGAGTGCTCTCCGCAACAGAGTTTGGTGAAGGTGGGTACTTTCTTCATGAGCTCACCTTCAGCTGCCTCTCCACCTTCATGGCCAAATGCACCACTTACTCAAAGTTCACAAACTGACGAAGCTCTACTTCATTCTTGATTTCTCTGTTGAGTCCATGCAGAAAACGAGCAATCGTTGCTTCCTTGTCTCCCCTCACATCTACTCTCATCATGAGCAATTCTAGCTCCTTTAAGTACTCATCAACAGAGCGCGCTCCTTGCCAAATTCCATGCAAGGAATCATGGACATCTCTCTGATAGAATTGAGTAACAAAACGATCACGCATAAAGCCTCGGAGTTCTGCCCAAGTAGAAACTTCAGACTGCAGATTCCTTCTTCGTCGCTGCTGAATCTTTTCCTACCAAACTACTGCATAATGTGTAAACTCACAGGTGCCTACAATAAGTTTCTGATGCCTTGGGTAAGGATTTCACTGGAAAAACATAATCATCTTCCGATCCCAGTCGAGGTAAGCCGATGCACTATTAGTGCCTTGAAACGATGGGATTGAGAGCTTAATCCCTCAAGTCGGTTCAACGCCATAAACCCCTGCTTCTGGTGGTCTTCCTCCATACTCATAATAATCATTCTCATGGTCATTAAATGGAGGTATGTTCTATGAGATTACCTGACGACGTTGCTCCGTGTATTGGCACCTCTGCATCTGCAAATCTGGGGTCTCAGGAAATGCTTGGTACACTCATTCTGCTCTTGGAACCTCTCGGTTCTCAACTCCAGTATGAGCTACGACAACTGCTAGATTCTCTGGTGGTAGGGGATTACCCATTGGTTGCGTCTCCAACCTGGTGATTAGTGTAACAGCCCATTCCGGTGAAACCCATATTATTTGTGCGATTAAAATGGGGTGTTTTGATAGTATTTTGACAAAAATCAGAATATTAATCAATCGGATAAGTATCGATTATTACATATAAATGTATATAGATATATATATTGATTAATTATATATGTTAATTAATCTTATTCACACACGTATGTGTGTCGCCTGGAGAAGAATTGTTGGGAGAGGAAAAACAAATAAAAGAAAAAAGGGAAAAGTTATCGAGAGGGATTTATTGATGAAGTGGTGAGCAAGTTCTTTAAATATACATAGGGGTCGTTTGGAGAACAAGAATCATGCTATTGATTCACTGAATCAGTAAATTTTATAAAATGTTATATTTTTTTTTGTTGCTTTTGTATTGTAGATTTTAGTTTTTGAGATTTCAAATCTCTAAAATCTACGGATATCAAATCTATCATAATTATAGAAATTTTATATCTTGATTTGTGAGAATTTTTTTCTCCTACTTTTTCTCTACTTTTTATTTATTTATCACATTAAATATATTTATCAACAAAGTATTAAATATTTCTCGAACTATCTAATTTTTTATTAAGGATAAAAATGTTATTTAATATAGAATTAAGTTTTTTATTTTCATTGAATATTAACAATCACAGTTACCAAACAATAAAAATTTTAAAATATGTTTTCAATAATCCGAAAAGTGAGAATCTTTTGAATGTTGCCAATATATAGATTTAAACTCGTATTCTCCAAACGATCCCATTAATTGGTTCATTTTCTTCATTCTCACTATTAGCTTACGAGAGGGATAAAACCCACAGAAACCGGCGATCTTCGTAGAGAGGTCGGAGAGAATTGGGAAGCTGATTCTCGGAGCTTTAGCTACCCAAAAATTAGCGTAGTTGTCACTCCGCACGAGGTAGTTAATGATATTTTGAGCTTCTAGTGAAGTTTTGCTTTGATAATTTCCCAAGTTTTCGTTCAGGTGAATTAGAGTTGAGGACGATTCAGAAGTCGGATTAATTCCTAGGTGAACTGGTGAGGGATTAGCACGGCATACCGGGTTTGTCATTTCACGATAATTATATTGACGTTTAGAAGTGACCTAGGTGAACTAGAATGACATGATTAGGGGTGTATGGACTTTGGTGCTATATGGTGAACCCTTGAGTGTCATATGATATTATTGTCTTGCCCTAATCCTTATGGACCTTGTTTATGCTGATGCTTGCGTATATGTTACAATTTGTGGGCTTGATTGTTTATATGACTTATGATGGTTCGAGAAGGTAATTGGGTATGATTTTACATGATTGTTGTATTTGGATGCACAAGTGGGAAAATATATATCTCATGGTGATATTATGATGTTTAAGGAGGATGACTTGCACGAGGGTTTATCCTGAGGAAGTGTATTTATAGGACTCATGATTTACCTATGTTGAGCCAATTGTGGTTGGGTCAAGAACATGTCCAAGTAATGAATTATGATTAATCAAGATGAGATATGAATCATGTATAAGGATATCAAGTAAGATTATTTTGGTCTCATGGTCAATTACATAATAATTAGGGCTCCCTATACTATTACTCTGTTATGACATGATTGCCGCACCTCTCTTGTGGTGTTGACTGAAGATACATCCTTCTCTCGAACTCGGCGCACCAAGGTTTGACAGTCACCACAAAAGTTCACAGTAAAAAAGCCATGCATTAAACACCAGTTAATTGCATCTCTTAAGGCCAAAAGTTCCATAAAAAAGGGGTCAGTAATACCTGCGTAATATTTTCCCACAACAAACAGCAGCTGACCACTATCAGAGAACCCTACAAAGCCAACACTACCACCACTGGCCCTGCACCAAGCTTCGTCAAAGCAAACCAGCACCCCTGCAGTGTGGCATATATCATGTCTATGCCTAGAGAAATGACTTCCACCTACACAAAGACGATATGCATTCACGCTGAAACACCACTACCGTACTGAGACACTCCACCATACACGCCTTAAGCTCTCCCTGCAACCAGCCAGGATCTGACGGAGACATATCTAGTGAATTGAAGTAGCCCATTACACCTAATGGCAACCGGCTCTCCGTCGGAACTGCCACCACTCATCAGCGGCATGGACGCCGATTAATGGCGAAGCCTGCATACATGAAACAGAGACAGAAGATAACCCAAAATGAACAGAAATAAACCAATAGAGCAGAGAAAAACCAAACCAGACAAAAAACTAACACTATGTACATTAAATAAAAAAAAGCGGAACAAAAAATGAAGAGCGAATAAGAAGCATAAAATCCAAAGACCCCTAATTTACAAAAGTGAAGCAAGGACCAACAGAATGAAGCACGCACTGCTAATAACGAATATGAAAAAGTAAACAAAACAAAAGCAAGGCACAGACCCCAGAGGGTAACAAGAAGCAGCAAAAAAGAAATCAAAGCTGAAACTACATGCATAGATGAGCAACCACCAAGCAAACCATATAAATTAAAAAGAACTAAATTCCAGATTAGCAATCAGAAGCCAGAGTGGGGGCGGTGATCCCGTGAGAGGGCTGGCCGAAAGCAACAATCAAAGGCGACCGAAGAAGTTCAAATAAGAAGACGAAGGCCAGAAGGTGGCGTCGAGAAAAACAGGGGAAGGCGGAGGAAGGAAAACAGGGGGAAGCGGTGCGAGTAGAGAGGATAGGGATAGAGTGCAGGCGGAGGTGGAGAAAGTTTCACCTAGTGAGACAAATAACATCAAACTAAGGACAATTACATCATTTTCCAGTCCTATTAACAGTCATTTAACAAAAAATGGATGAAATGGTATCTGCGTTACGTTTTAATATTAGAAGGGTACTTTCGTACAAAAAATTAGCAAAGGGTTACATTTGTTACTTTACAATAGGACAATTACATCATTTTCCAGTCCATTTAACAGTCATTTAACAAAAATTGGATGAAATGGTATCTGCGTTACGTTTTAATATTAGAAGGGTACTTTCGTACAAAAAATTAGCAAAGGGTTACATTTGTTACTTTACAATAGTAGATATGTACAAAATGCAATTAATCCATAAGAAAAGTTATATCTTTTTATCTTAGATCATCTTATACTAATCAAACTAGCATGGATAATTTAGGGTGTGAATAAGTCTGTCTTGACTTACTCTAGCAACTGTTCATGTCTTCTCAATCATTGATCTTGATGCCAAAGGCAAGCCTATAAGAAACACAACCATTTATTTTAGACGGTCCAGAACTTTCCATTATATAATCCCACCTGCGAACATTATGTATACTAATTTACAAGGATTAACTGCTTTAAGTACAACACTACAAGACTACCGCACCCTTATCCTCTTATCTTATGACATAACAGAGGGAGGATCAACTCGTAACGATGAATTTTACACCGTATAAAAGACCAAGACCTAGTGTTCTTCAACCTGTGCTACTTCTACTTAGTACTTACTACTACAGCAGACACATTTTATTCTCCCAGCCAAATAACCGCCACCTCTGCAGCTTCACTCTGTCAGCTTGAGAAAACAACACAACATTATTCGCTTCTGTAATACACATAACTCTGACTCTCAGAACCTTGTTCAACTGGTTTATCATGTTGATCACATCAGTAGCAGTCTGAAACCCAGATGTCCTCTGCACCTTCTTTCCATGTCCCACATTTCCATTTAACTCTCGGGTGTTTGCTTGCCCACTTAGAGACGAGACTAAAGAACGCTCCATGATCAGCATCAGAGTGGATGAGTAACCCAATTCTCAACAAGCTGTTGCAACAGTTCAGGATACACGAAATAAACTGTAAACTAGCATCAAGATTCTGCTTCACAAACTGAACAGTAATTACTTTCAAGTCTTTCATAGGGGACCGAGTCTTCAGGCCATTGGAGAGAAAGCATGTCACCATCTCGGACCAAGCCCCAGACTGCAGAGTTAGGGAGCTCACATTTGGGAAGACTTCGAATGCCGATTCCAAGCAGAGTGTATCATCAGTCTCATTGGATCTGGAAGAATTTAACTTTACCTCATTTATTGCAGTGGCAGAAGCAAATGAATGAAGGAGAGAGCAAATGTTTCCCGAATCAAGCTGAAGGCTTTCCAGATGCAGGAAGTGGTTCACTTGGAGCTCATTCACTTCCACAATATAAATACGACAATCTGCCAACATTGGAGCTTTGATAACTAGGGATCTGGGTCTAATGCATCTCAGCTCGAGTTTCAAAAGGCTGGGCGCAAGTATGGTCAAAGAAAATGGAGCATTTGATACCGTCCATTGACAAGTCTTCAGCCGAGGAAGACAAATTTTGGGTTCTTTAAGTCCTCCAACTCCTATCAAATTCAGAACTTGAAGACATGGGAAGCAATCGTTGACCTTGTTTAGATCTTCATCATCTAACCTCACGAACTCGAGGGTCAAAACACTGAGCATAGGCATTGAATTTAAACCGTCTACGGATAGCCACGCGTTCTTCACCTCTAACTCCAGAAGAGCGTGGCCTGTAAATATAGGAAGTACATAATAAGACTTGGAAATGGGACATATCCAGAGCGTAAGCATAAGCTTTGCCTATAATATCATCGATCAGCCCAAGATGGTTCCTGATGATCAAAGTAAACATTCAGTTCAAAACCTATCACTATCAGCCATCATCGTCAATTCATTTGATTTAAAGATCGGAAAAGTTTCTGTTTTAAGACAAAGAAAAACAATTTTCCTAACTAGCATAGCACCACTAGAGAGTAAGATCCAGGCATGGGAGGCAAACAGGGCAGGGCAAAATTCAGACAATACTCACAGCAAGAAGAAATGAGCTTCAGAATCTCCGATTTTCTCCAGCAAGATTGAATCCAAAAATCCGAAATCGAAAGCGACCTCAGCTCTCCAGAAACCCTAGGCAACCACTCCTCCACGAACCTCGCGTCGGTCAGGTGCAAATCGTCCGACTCGTCCTCTACGTCGTCGTACGATATCCCGGCGAGGGACTTTTCCACGCCAATCGAAACGGACTCTATGGGGACGCGAGAACCGCGGAACAGGTCGCCGAGCACGGCCTTGAAAGGCGTAATTCGATCTCTGGTCTCCGGCGACCGCGATTTCAGATAGCGGGACAAAGAGCAGAAGAATTTCACCGATTGGACTTCACGAGCAGCGGCGCAGAAGTTTCTCGAAACTAGCCTGCAGCGTGCCAGATGCCCGGAATCGTCGAGACGGCTCAGGATGTCGACGAGCAGAGACGAAGGCAAGTTCTCCATGAGCAGTGCAGTCAGCAGTGGGGCCGAATCCCTTCCTCCACTGTGTCTACACAATCTAAACTCTACAGACTACATATCCAGTTGAGGGAAATTCGAAATGTTCTTGATTTTTTTTTATAGTGGATTTGGAGCAAGTGACCTGAACCCAATAGATAAGGCCAGCCCAGAGTTCAGGTCCGTAAATCGGCCCAGCCCAACTCCAGGTTCGTACTCTCCTCCAGTAAATGCTCTCAATGTTTATCGAAATTAACAAATTGCCGGAAAAAATCCCACTGTACACATGTTTTTAAAAAAAATTCTCAAAATACACACGTTATGAAAATATTTCTCAATCTACGCATGTTTGGGCCTTCACCGCGTCAGACTAAGGCGGTGATTGCTTCACCGCGTTAGAGAAACACGGTGATTGCATCACCGCGTTAAAAGAAAACGGTGACTGCATCACCGCGTTAAAAGAAAACGGTGACTGCATCACCGCTGTAGAGGAAGGCGGTGATTGCATCACCGTGTTAGAGGAAAACGATGAAGGCCTGACCTGCGTCAAATCTTTAAAAAAAACGTAACTTTGTGCTCGGTTATCCGATCGTGGTGAAATTTTTTTTTATTCCGCATAATTTTTTGAGATCTTGCAAGCGGTTTGGTCCCGCCTTCGTCCCGAAAAAACGTCGTTTGCTACCCCGAACGAGCCTTTTTTCGATTTCGTCAAACTTTGAACGACCATAACTTTGTGCTCCACAATCCGAAAATCATGAATTTTTTTTTTGATTTTGCATAACTTTTTGAGGACTATAATTTTTAGCAGGAGAGAATTTTCAAAAAATGAATTATTTTGGACATACGGGTTGTGGAGCACAAAGTTATGGTCGTTCAAAGTTTGACGAAATCGAAAAAAGGCTCGTTCGGGGTAGCAAACGACGTTTTTTCGGGACGAAGGCGGGACCAAACCGCTTGCAAGATCTCGAAAAATTATGCGGAATAAAAAAAAAAATTCATCACGATCGGATAACCGAGCACAAAGTTACGTTCTTTTAAAGATTCGACGCAGGTCAGGCCTTCACCGCGGCCGTTGAATGCGGTGAAGCTATCACCGTTTTTGTCTACAGCGGTGATGCAATCACCGTTTTTCTCTAACGCGGTGATGCCTTCACCGCCTTAGTCTGACGCGGTGAAGGCCCAAATATGTGTAGATTGAGAATTTTTTTCATAACATGTGTATTTTGAGAATTTTTTTAAAAACATGTGTACAGTGGGATTTTTTCCACAAATTGCCACACACAGACGGGAACGATAAACCGGGGGACAGGTTACGGTGATTACTACTTTGTAGTAATCACCGTGGTTACTAAGGGTAAATTGGGTATGGAAAAATAAATTATATTAATTAATTTTTTAATAAATTACATTTAAGGTAGTTACAAAAATCTATTAATTAAAATTCTCTCTTCCTCTCACTTCCGTAATCTCCATCCAGATTTTCTTTCCATATTTTTCTCAATCTTTCTGCAAAAAAAAAAAAAAACGAAATCAGTATCAATCCATTATACAAACACTACCACTTTGAAAAATATCAATACCATTACAGAAATAAATCTATACCATTACACGAAAACTACCATTGCATAAATAAATTTATACCATTACACGAAAACTACCATTCAAGAAATAAAAACACTACCATTTCACAAAACATCAATCCACATCAAACTACCAATCCAAATGAAGACTACCAATCCAAATCAAACTACCAGATTCACATGTATGGAGAAAACTACCAATGCATGAAAGGAAACTACCATTCAAAAAAACTAAAAAACTACCATTCGAACAGAACAATACCAATCACATCAAAAAGCACGGTTTCACATGTATGCAGAAAACTACCAATGCATGAAAGAAAACAGCAAAAAAGAATACCATTCCAACATAACACTACAATTCAAACAGCAAAAAAAACTACCATTCCAAACATAACACTACCATTCCAGAACCGGCGGCAGCCGGAGCTATGAATGCCGTCTGCGGAGAAGATGGAGTTTCAAGCTTGAAGCTGGGTTTTGGCCTTTGGGTGGAAGTCTGCGGAGAAGAGAAAGGAAGCAGATTTGATGGCGTGGCGGATTAGGGTGGAAGCTGGGTTTTGGCCTTTGGGTGGAAGTTTGCGGATTAGGGAGAAGAGAAAGGAAGCAGATTTGATGGCGTGGCGGATTAGGGTGGAAGCTGGGTTTTGGCCTTTGGGTGGAAGTCTGCGGAGTAGGGTTTCTCGATTCTCGAATGAAGGATGTGGTGGCGGATTTGATGGCGTCGCAGAGTCAATACCAAGTGATCGGAGAGGGGAAGGGGTGGAGGCGATGGCGGATTTGATGGCGTCGGAGAGGCGGAGGTTGATCGATAGCGGGAGCGATAGGGAGAGGAGGGAGGAGACGACGGCTAGGTATTAGGGTTTGAGTAAAATATATACAGTAATCAGGTGTGGTATGTTTTTCATTTCCTAAATTACCCTTAGCTAATCTTAATCATTAATTTAAAATTATAATAAAATAAAGATAATGAATGGTATAGATGTTGGTAGCCACCGTGATTACTCAAAATTGAGTAACCACCCTAACCTATCCCGTAAACCGGCATTAAAACCTCTGTCTGCCTGTCCCCGTCGTCGGCTCCTCCGTCGAGCTTCTGGGGTTTAACAGGCAACTCTGCTTCCCTTCTTTGTATTCGCGACAGAAAGAGAGAGAGAGAGAGAGAGAGAGAGAGATGGGAAGGAGGATACTGAACGATGCGCTGAGGGCCATCGTGAATGCGGAAAAGAGAGGGAAGGCCTCGGTGGAGCTCAAGCCGATTTCCACTGTCATGTCGTCTTTCCTCAATATCATGAAAGATCGAGGTAACTAACTGACTCCTTCTGGATCCAATCTTCTTCCCACCCCCTTTTGTTGTCCCATTCCGCGGCTGCGATATTTGAATTGTGTATTTCCAGTTTTCAGCTTAGAATCGAGGTAGGTTTCGTTTCCGGGACTGGGTGGCGGTTAAATTGAGATTGTATATTGTAATTCTGAGTGACTGACCTTGGTGTTTCCTTTCTTTGATTGGTCCCCTTTATCAATCCTTGGTGGCTAGTATTTAGTTTTTGTTAAAGGGGTCGAATGGAATGCAGCTAGAATGCGAATGCAGTTAAAATGGAAACTGGTAGTGTCCTTCACGGGTTTTCTTAGAACTTCTGGAGAGTTGCATTGAATGTTGAGAATCAAACCCGAATGATGTCTGCATTAGATGGAACACTGGAGGGTTGTAGACAATTGAATTTCAGGGTTTATATCAGGTAGATTCCTGTCTCTCTCGCTGGGTTAGGGTTTTTGTCGCCCATTATTACATTAAGGTGGAAAGATACAGAAGCAAATGACTGAAGAAAACTGTATGTTTCAGCAGAACAGAACCTCATCGTCTCAATGTACGTATGGTCATTGTTATAACAGCAAGTTTTTAGGTACGTAGAGCTGGTTCCTTTTTTTTGTTTTTTTTGTTTTAGCTAGAATCTCTCAACTTCTTCAGAGACACATAGATGAGAAACGAGTACAAGGTGTTGGATGGGAGTGGAAATAGGTCATAGGGAGTATATGTTCTCAGCATCTAATCAGCTGTTGCTGCTTTGGATTCCGTGGGAGTGGAGGGGATGCAAAGTGCAATTTTGTTGGAAGGTATACTAGAAAATTGTTATCCATCTTTTTGTTAAGCGCCTTTGATCTTCTTGAGTGACAGCAACTCAACTTAAGAGTATTTCAGACTACTGAATGATTGCTGTCTTATGGCACCTGCAAGTATCTGAATATGTTTAGAACTTAGAGCTCATGCTGTATTCTGATCTACTTGAATAGCTTTGATGGTTAGGTAAGAGTTGTTTCACTCTTCTGGTTATTTCTTAGATTGTGACATTTATCGTCAGTTTTATTGATTCGGACTAGAAAAGAAGCTCTTATCAGCTTTAGTAGAGCGGGTTTTGTGTACTCTTATATGTTTCAGTCTCTTCAACTCCTTATATTTTCAACATTTACAGGATACATTAAAAATTATCAAGTATTTGATCCACATAGAGTGGGGAGGATATCGGTTGAACTACAAGGGAGGGTAAGAGACTGCAAGGCTCTTACTTACAGACAAGATATCAAGGCGAAGGACATAGAAACATACACAAAGCAAACTCTTCCAACACGTCAGGTTCGGGATGAAGTTTCAGTTTGCAATCATTCCATTTTCCTAAACATGAGATTTTGATTGATTTATGGGTTTCCTTCTCATTTCTCCTCTCGATATGCAGTGGGGTTATGTAGTGATCACTACTCCGGATGGCGTACTGGATCACGAGGAGGCAATTAAGCGGAATGTCGGGGGTCAGGTTCTTGGTTACTTTCATTAGAACCCCAGTCTAGATTCTCTGTAATACTACTAGATATTACTGCACAAGAAGAGAAACCGTTTCCTGTACCCTATTGAATTGCATGCTTTCTGTTGAAAAGGACTGGATTGTTAAAGTTGCACTTTAGTTCGCTCGTATCACTGGAATACTGAAACTGCTCCACAATCACTCCTTTAATTTCAGATCGGTTATATGCTTAGTACAAGAGTTGGATCTATCCGTCTATTGTTTGCTCTATGTTTGGCATACAGAAATTATGTCAGGACTTGTTTCATTGACAAGAGTATGGCCTCTATGATGAATCAATGGTACCACTTTATTCTTCAACAAAGTAAAGAGTCAATGCTGAAATGTAACAAGAGTCGAGGTGCAAACATGTTAAAAGGTTTCAGTAGATCCTGCGGCAAATGGTGATCCCATCACCCAATGGAGTGAGCGAAATATCGACGCGAGGATCTGCTGCAAGCGATTTGTTGAACTGAATTGTAGCTTCTGTGCCGCCTCTGTGGCTTCCCGCTACAGAATCTGGAGGGATAGCAACAGTACCTCCCCAGAGAGTGTTGTCATAGGCAATGATCCCTCCAACCCTCACCAGCTTCATCAGCCTCTCATGATAGTTCCAGTAGTTAACTTTATCAGCATCCACATAAGCAAAGTCGTAGCTCCCTTCATTCCCTTCCTGCCTCACAAAATCGAAAAGAAAAAAAGTATTGTCACCGTGAAATCACAACACGATCCAGTGGTCTTATAAGATAGTACTAACATCTTTGACCAGCTTATCGAGGGCAGGCAAAGCTTCTGATTCTACGAATTCGATCTTGTGCTCGACGCCTGCCTTCTGGATTACGGGCAGCCCTATCTCGTAGGACTCACGGCTCATATCAATAGCGGTGATCTGCGAATTCAAGCACACACATCAAATCATGGCTTCGTTCATGTTCTGTAGCAGCAAGCAATCTGCAGGGTGATAATTATAGCAATACTATCCAATATAATCTCTTCTGTCACCTTGCCATCGTGGGGAATGGACAGAGCGGTGAGAAGAAGTGAGTAGCCAGTGAAAACTCCAACTTCAATGGTTTTCTTCGCATCGATCAGTTTGATGAGGAGTCCCATTAGCTGAGCGGCATCAGGCGCAGTAGCCATCATCGCCCTGCAACAACGTACAACAATCAACCGCTACGAATTCAGATTTCTAAGCCTTAAAGCAGAAAGGAATTGAAATCACAGCAGAAGACCATTGCTGATTATTATTACCTGGGATGCGTGGCGGTTAGGTCTCTCAATTCCTTGAGCTGCTGTGGTTCCCGCGGGAACACGCTCGTCTCCAGAACATACTGCCCGGCCGCCAATTCCAAACAAGCTTAACATGTTAGCTTAGAAAATCAAAGTGGCAAGAAAAGAGGAAGAAGAAAGGAATTACGAACCTGGTATAACTCTGGAGTCTGCAATAAGCCCTTGGAAGGAGGAGGTGGTGCTGTTCTCTTGCTGCTCTCCTCTTCCATATCTGGATTCTAACCTGATCTCCAGACTTCCAAGCAGCTGATCAGTTTCGATTCACAGGATTCAACCCTGGAGATTATGGGATGCAGAGATAGATGAGAAGTCGTGGGAGTTGGTAGAAAGGGACAGGAAAATGGTCGTTATTATCTAGGCAAAATGGGACAAGAAATGGTATTGGAAAAGAAAACTTCTATTTTGGGGCTTTCCCAATTTAAAGAGTTAATGACATGGTAGGTCACTGAGAATAATTAAAAAAAAGTTCAACAAGCACTCAAAATATTTAAATTCATTGATAGTATTTCAGTTTATTAAAATCGTTCACGTTTGGTCACTCTCCGTCCAATTCCGTTAACTTTGGCTGATGTGGCAGTCAACTTTAACGTTCAAGTTTGGTCACTCGAAATATTTAAATCCATTGGTGGTACTTCTGTTTACTGAAACCGTTAACGTTTGGTCACTCTCCGTCCAACTCCGTTAACTTTGGCTGATGTGGTACTCAACTTTCAAAGTTGACTGTTAACTTAGTGAACTAAAAAATTATTACAAATTACGTTTGGTCACTCTAACGTTCAAGTTTGGTCACTCGAAATATTTAAATCCATTGGTGGTACTTCTGTTTACTGAAACCGTTCACGTTTGGTCACTCTCCGTCCAACTCCGTTAACTTTGGCTGATGTGGTAGTCAACTTTCAAAGTTGACTGTTAACTTAGTGAACTAAAAAATTATTACAAATTAAAAAAATAAACTTTTATATTTTCCGCCTCATTATTACATTCATAAAAAAATAAAAAAACCTAATTTCTTTTCTACAAACCCCCATACCCTACCCGTCCCAACAAACAAGCAAAATAGAAAAAATCGATCACCACGATGTTCGAGCAATTGAAAAAGTAAAGATTGCAGAAATTGAAGCAAAGAAGTCAGGGAGTCCCTAATTTTTCTCACTTGAGCCATGGGCTGGGAAGGAACGACGAGAGTGTCGACGACGTCAACGAGGAGAGCCTTGTGGGTGACGCGGCGGTGGTGGAGGTTGGGTCGGGTAGGGTATGGGGTTTGTATAAAAGAAATTAGGTTTTTTATTATTTTTTATTTTTTAATGAATGTAATAATGAGGTGAAAATATAAAACTTTATTTTTTATTTTAATAATTTTTGAGTTGCCACGTCACTAAGTTAATGGTCAACTTTGAGAGTTGACTGCCACATCAGTCAAAGTTAACGGAGTTGGACGAAGAGTGACCAAACATGAACAGTTTCAGTAAACTGAAGTACCATCAATGGATTTAAATATTTCGAGTGACCAAACTTGAACTTTTTTGTAATCTCAGTGACCAACCATGCAATTAACCCCAATTTAAATAGGGTAGAATAGTAGCTAGTGGTAAAACAGATAACCTCTCTCGCATATGAAGAGTTTTTCGGTAGAAACCTAGAATTAGGTTTTCTTGGAATCTAGTGTTTCAATTTTCTGAGCGTACCACTACGTCTTTCATCACAGTCCAACAAGGATAAGAAAGTTGTGATCTCTTTATATGTGTGCTTCCTTTCGAGCGAGGTCTGTTATAGGTATCAGAAAGTTTTGGCAAGCTTGTTATTGAGAGTAAACCCTAGTTCTTGCCACCTGCGTTCCTAGGGTAAGAGAGAGACAGAGTTAGTTTATGGCGACTGCAAGATCCTGGCTAAGGGGTTTCTTGTGTGTTAATGGGTCTCGATTTCATTGTGCGCTAATCTGCCTTCTGCGATTAGGGAAAGTGAGCGATTTCTTCAGATCCATAAGTGCTTTTGCTTGCCGTTAGTGTGACGGAACCATGGAAAACGAACACCAAGAAAAGGTCTTGGACTATCAGATTGACAAGACTATAGAAGAGACGCAGAGTCCATTGGAGACAATTACCCCTCAGGGGGATGGATCTTCGAAGCTGGGGGCTGACGAGGATGGCACAGAAGCAGTTTATGGATACGCCGGCGTCCCAAATCCAAAAGGAGTTGGTACTGGCTGAAGATGAACCTCTTGTGGTTGAGGAAAGCGACTATGATTCTATGGTGGAGCGTGCAGCTAACCTGTTAGGGTTGGTAGGAAGATATGTGTGATAGAAACCCGTGTTCCGGGTTGTATCTAACGATGGGGAAAGTAAGGAAAATAGGAAGAAGAGCCTAGTTGGCTCTTGGTGTTACTTGTGTGGGATGGAAAAGGAAGAAGAAAGTGGACAAGAGTTGGAAGGGGAAGAAGGATGGATGTTGTGCAGCCAGTAGAGGGAGGGAAGGGGTCGGCCAAGGGAGAAGGGAGAGGGAGAGATGATAACAGGTGATTAGGGTTTAATATTTTGCTAATCCTCATTCAACGTAGCAAAATAGTTTAAATAACAATTCCTAATTATCTATAGCTACCCCAATTTATTAAACTCTCAATTAAATCCCCCAAATGCCGAATAAACTCTCAAACAATCATAAATTAACAAATGAGTCCAAATGCTAAAAGAATAGAAACGCAGGTTTCTATCATCCCTGCCTCCTTTGAAACAACCTTGTCCCTAAGTTTGTCAGTCCTCCGCCTGATCTTCGTTCCTGCCTTCCGCCGCGTCGTCCTCGGCCTCGTCCTCCCACCTCCCCACCAGCATCATAAAGTCCGGCTTCGCGCACTTGTGCCCAATGGTGAACCGTTCATCGCATTTGAAGCACTTGCCTTCCCTCCTCTTCTGCTCGATCTCTGCTAAGCTCAGCCTGACGAAGCCCTTGGGCGGGACCCTCGGCCCAGGACGTGTTGTCGTAATCGCAGCACCCGGTGTCGTATTAACCCCGCCGCCAGCATTAACAGCGGCACCGCCACTCCCGCTACTCCCTGCACCTGTGTGGCCACCTCCGCCGGGCTTGGAATAGCTCCCTATGACGCTCCTCCAGCTCGCCAGCTCCTCCTCCTTATGTCCTGCAAGACGGAAAACAACCCTCAAGGTATCGGGTTCAAAAATCTTGACTGCCGCGGCAATCTCCAGTTTTACACCCGCAATGCACATTCCCTCCAGGGTCTCTTCTAAAACACCCTTACACTGGTTTCCCAGTTTAAGGAACTCTGCCCGGTACTCAAGTTACTGATCCGGTCTGCCTGAGCTTGGCCAGCTGCTCCGGAGCCTAGCCCTCTGATTTGTTGAGTTGGTAACGAAGCTCCTCCTAGAATATCGGCCACGTAATCTGATAACGGTGTAATCGCATGTTTTTATACCCCTGTTTCTTACCCATTTGCGGGGCATAGTTGTGTGTTTTAGCCTATTTTACGCCGGGTTGTGCCACTTTGTCATATTTCAGGTCCCAGGCAGTCGAAGAGAAGGCCAAGCACGAGTTTCGGGGCATTTGGAAGTCGTTTGGTCGAGCTAGGACCAAAACACGGGCAGGAGGCTTGCAAAGCACGGACCGTGCTCCTGGCCCGTGTTTTTACTGCTGAGGCTTCCCTGCAATTACCCTGCATGAGCATTAAAACACGGGCGGGACCATTTCAAAACACGGCCGTGTCCACATCAAAACACGCCCGTGTTTTCCCGAGACCGTGGCCGTGTAATTATGATGTGTCAGAGGGCACGGGCGGGCTGGAGCAGAACACGGCCGTGCCCTCGACCGTGTTCTGGCCAGTGATGCCCTTTTAGGCAGATTTTCAGCCAAAAGAGGGGGGATTCGAGTTTTAGAGAGACAGAGCGAATCCTAGAGAGAGAAAGCGACGAACAAGAGTCTCCAAGTGCCCTAGCTTGATCTTCATCACCATTGGAGCTTGGCTTGAGCTTGGAGGAGTGCCGATCAACGTCCAGGAGCAGAAATCCATCCTTCATAGTATGATTTCCGCGTCTGAATCTGCTTTTGCTTCTTTCTCCATGGAGTAGTTCTCCCATTCATCTGGGTGTGGGAAACCCTAGATCTGTATGTTAGGTTTGATTGTATGAACCCAAGTACTGTTTCTATGATTTGATTATATTCGATTGAGGTTTGAATGATTGAATGGCATGAATCCTGATCAAATTCCTGTTGTTTCTGCTTTAACCTAGAATGAGAATATCTGCCTAGGTTGATAGAGTATCCTTAATTGAAGGTAGTGAATTGGTGACTTTAGTCGAGGAGCCAATTCGCTATTCTGTACCGAATTCAATTCGGTAGTGGAGGTTTGGTTCGTTAGGGCCTCAATCTGTTTACTCCGGTGGAGGTTAGTCGCCCGCTAGAGACTCAGATTGAGAGGGTCTGGAGACCTTTAGTCGAGACTTCAAACTGTTTGAGTACCTTCCGCAGTATAACTATCATAGAAATTGAACTTGGTAATTGCAATCCGGCTTAACTGCAGTCTAGGGGGAACCATATCCGGGTGACCTCTCTTAACCTGAAAACAACCGTTTAGTTGCTTTGCTTGCTTGTTAGTTTAGACCTTCACTAAAGTTTCATTGCTAGATAATACGAATTCACTGAGTAGTCATCATATCTAGGACCCGGGTTGACATTAAAACCCAAACCCGCTATACTACGCTTTAGGAAGTGGTTACACTTGGCCATTTTCTAGAGTGACAGTAGGAGTGAGTCAAGTTTTTGGCGCCGTTGCCGGGGACGGCTAGGTTGTTGAAGAAAAGTGATTTCTGTTACTTTAGCATTTTCATTTTCGCATTGAGTATTTGTTCTTTCCCACTTGTGCCTTCACGGGTTTGCATTGCTTGATTGTGTGCAGATAGTGCATGACCCGTAGCCAGTCGGGAGGTTTACTGCCGTTGGATCCAGAGATTGAACGCACCTGCAACCAACTTCGGAGACAACAACGAGCTAGACTGGCTACGGAGGAGCGTATAGACGGCCAATTGAGCAGCGAGTCCGAGGACGAGTACGAGATGGAAGGAGATCACAACCCACCTTCTGGAAACCAGTTCCTGGGGAACGACCCCAATCCCCAAGGAGCTGGGGTTCATCATCATCCACCACCACCGGGTCCCACCTTGGAGTACTACTACACTCCACGGATTGCTGACATCCGCCCGGTCATCCTCTATCCGCCCATTCCAGCAAACAATTTCGAGATCAAGCCATTGCTGGATTCAGCTCATTACATCCTCTATCCAGTTCCACTGGCTTGAAGGATGAGGAGGCCCGGATGCATCTTTCCCGTTTTCTGCAGCTGACGAACGGTTTCAAGCTGAACGGTATCCCTGATGAT